TCACATAGCTGCCAAAGGAATTATTATAAAATATAAATCATATTTCTCTTCTGCTCCAATCTTCCAGTAGCTCCCTATCCATACATTGTAGGAAATCTAAACTTCTTGCCATAACCAACAAGACCTCATAGGGTGTCGTTCCTAGCTACTTCTCCATCCCCATTTGTCTCAAGTACTCCACTGACTGTCATACTGTTGCCCAAATAAGCCAAGTACACTGCTACCTACACATGGTGTTTGCTCTGCCTGGAATGCTCCTCCCACAAAGCTTGTTGAAATTTACTTCCTCAATTTATCAAGACCTCTAGCTAAACAGGGTTTTTGATAAATTGAGGAAGTAAATTTTGTACATTTTTATCCAATCATTTTGTATATTTTTATCCAAATTTTTCTTCATATCCCTTACCAACATTTAACATTACTTGCCAATTTTCTTTTGTTACTATTTATCTCCTCCACTAGAATGTAGCTCAATGAGGAGCCAGGCCTCTATTCCCCTTATTCACCTTTCTATCACTGGTATCTAGAACACAGTCTGTTTACAGTAGAAACTCAAATACTTGTTGAATAAACACATTACTTATAATCACTATTAGAAAATTAATTGAAAGCATTAAATTTGTAATTCAAAGTAAAATTATAAATTTAAAACAGTATAATCTGAAACGAAATATTTTATAGGTCTCTTGAATAATCATGCATGTAGAAGTTTATCTCCTATTTTTTATTTATGAGTTGTACTTTTTAAATTTTTTTCATTTAAAATAATTCTAGAGCCTCTGCCTATAAAAAATTGTTCAAACACATAAAGTAATCATCTTTTATTAGGCTTTTTTTCACTATTCCTACAGAATACCAGAGTTTTTTCCTTCTCCTTTAATGAATATTTCAAGTATATATATCTTAGATATACATAAAGCCGAGTCAACACTGAATGTATTACAAGTATTTCTTAAAATCAATTTCTCTCTTACCTCATCATCAAGAAAACCTAATCAATTCACAATGTTAAAAATAGCTGCAAGTCTACATTTTTAGAGGGAAAGAGTATATTTAACTACACATTAGATTTGTGAACCTATCACAAGGCTGTTTAATTCTTTTAATTCAAATCATGCTATAAATTCAGGGCAGGTATACCAAATTATTGAAATGTAAATTGACCAGCTGCATATTTAAGAAACCTATCATAAAATGTGCCTGGTGCCCAGTAATTAACAAGTCTTATATCTGATTTTATTTTACTTAAACTCTAAAGACGAAACAAGTTTTCAGCAAAAATGTATTTGCAACGATTTAGCCTCCAAACAGAATAACTTATTTTAACAGCCAAAACCATGAACTAATAGCTATAATTGCCCATCTCTAGATGGAGGACAGACAGGTGGATTTGCATCAAATGCTTACAAAGATAGAGGCATGAGGATGCATGACTTTTAATAAAAAACTCGCTCCATGGGTTTGTTGACACATCAATTTTAACATATATTATCCATTTTGTTGTCCAAGTAACTGGTACTTCATTACTTTGTGTGTTTTGAACACACAGTTTATTACAGAAAATGAATATGCCCATTTTCTTTTTGCCCTTGTAAAAGGATGCAAGGATGCAGTAGGTATAAACTGAATGTCAATAAAAAAAGATGACTATTAAAATTTTTAAATAGCAGAAATAAAGGGTATTCAAATAGGAAAGGAGAAGGTCAAATTATCTCTATTTGCAGACGACATGATTGCATATCTAGAAGACCCCATCGTCTCAGCCCAAAATCTCCTGAAACTGATAAGCAACTTTGGCAAAGTCTCAGATACAAAATCAACGTGCAAAAATCACAAGCATTCCTATACACCAATAACAGATTTAAAGAGAGCCAAATCAAGAACGAACTGCCATTCACAATTGCTACAGAGAGAATAAAATACCTAGGAATACAACTAACAAGGAACGTAAAGGACCTCTTCAAGGAGAACTACAAGCCACTGCTCAACGAAATAAGAGAGGACACAAACAGATGGAGAAACATTCCATGTTCACAGTTAGGAAGAATCAATATCATGAAAATGGCCATACTGCCCAAAGTAATTTACAGATTCAACGCTATTCCCATCAAGCTACCAATGACCTTCTTCAGAAAACTGGAAAAAACCACCTTAAACTTCATATAGAATCAAAAGACAACCGGCATAGCCAAGTCAATTCTAAGCAAAAAGAACAAAGTGGGAGGCATCACACTACCGGACTTCAAACTATACTACAAGGCTACAGTAATCAAAATAGCATGGTACTGGTACCAAAACAGAGATATAGACCAATGGAACAGAACAGAGGCCTTGAAGGCAACACCACACATCTACAACCATCTGATCTTTGACAAACCTGACAAAAACAAGCAATGGGGAAAGGAGTCCCTGTTTAATAAATGGTGTTGGGAAAACTGGCTAGCCATGTGCAGAAAGCAGAAACTGGACCCCTTCCTGACACCTTACACTAAAATTAACTCCAGATGGATTAAAGAGTTAAACATAAGACTTAACACCATAAAAACCCTAGAAGAAAACCTAAGCAAAACCATTCAGGACATTTGTGTAGGCAAGGACTTCATGACTAAAACACCAAAAAAGCCAAAACAGACAAATGGGATTTAATCAAACTCCACAGCTTCTGCAGAGCAAAAGAAAGTCATTAGAGTGAATCAGCAACCAACAGAATGGGAAAACAATTTTGCAATCTACCCATCTGACAAAAGGCTAATATCCATAATCTACAAGGAACTAAAACAGATTTACAAGAAAAAAACAAATAAGCCCATTCAAAAGTGGGGAAAGGATATGAACAGACACTTTACAAAAGAAGACATACATGAGGCCAACAAACATATGAAAAAATGCTCATCATCACTGGTCATTAGAGAAATGCAAACCAAAACTACATTGAGATACCATCTCACACCAGTTAGAATGGTGATCATTAAAAAATTGGGAGACAACAGATGCTGGAGAGGATGTGGAGACATAGGAACATTTTTACACTGTTGGTGGGAGTGTAAACTAGTTCAACCATTGTGGAAGACAGTGTGGCGATTCCTCAAGGACCTAGAAATAGAAATACCATTTGACCCAGCAATCCCATTACTGGGTATATATCCAAAGGATTATAACTCGTTCTACTATAAGGACACGCACACATGAGTGTTCATGGCAGCACAGTTTACAATAGCAAAGACCTGGAACTAACCCAAATGCCCATCGATGATAGACTGGACAGGGAAAATGTGGCACATATACACCATGGAATACTATGCAGCCACAAAAAAACAATGAGTTCGTGTCCTTTGTAGGGACATGGATGAACCTGGAAACCATCATTCTCGGCAAACTGACACAAGAACAGAAAATCAAACACCGCATGTTCTCACTCATAGGTGGGTGTTGAACAATGAGAACACATGGACACAGGTAGGGGAGCACCACACACTGGGTTCTGTTGGGGGGAAATAGGGGAGGGACAGCGGGGGGTTGGGAGCTGGGGAGAGATAGCATGGGGAGCAATGCCAGATATAGGTGATGGGGAAGAAGGCAGCACATCACACTGCCATGTGTGTACCTATGCAACAGTCTTTCATGTTCTTCACATGTACCCCCAAACCTAAAATGCAATTAAAAAAAATAAATTTGAAAATAGTCAAATTTTGGAGATTTAGATTATAAAAGGCCAACTTTTCTTTTATATATAATATCAAGTTATTTTAAAACTGCAAACACCGACAGGCATAGTAGCTAACGTCTGTAATCCCAGAACTTTGGAGGCCGAGGAGGGTGGATCATGAGGTCAGGCATTTGAAACCAGCCTGACCAACATGGTGAAACCCTGACTCTACTAAAAAAAAAAAGATACAAAAAAAAAATTGCAGATGCCTGAAATCCTAGCTACTCAGGAGGTTGTGGCAGGAGAATTGCTTGAACGTGGGAGGCAGAGGCTGCAGTCAGCCAAAACTGGACCACTGCCTCCAGTGTGGGTGACAGAGTGAGACTCTGCTCAAAAAATAGGAATGCAAACACAAATTTATTGTATATATCTTTTCAGAATGTAAAAGTCTCTATATCTCTCCACTCCTTGGGGTAAAAATGATTCATTCTTTCTTATGAAAAATTACATGATTCACAGCTAATCAGTGTAGACAGAATGACAGAATTAGAAATTTTCTCTTCTGGAATCGCAGTAAAATATAGTAACTGATTCAGACAAGAGCAACATGGATCTTAAAACCCCCAAGAATCATTCCAGAGGTTACTTGCTAATCACAATGTGGGATCCTTTCTTCATAATTGAGATACTTAGTGTCATCACCATAACCAAGTGCTCAAGCTTAACATTACTACTAATGGTGACAGCATGTGCATGTAATATGAAGTCACAGTATCATCTATGAAGTACTCTTGCCATAAATGTCTAACCTATATCATGCACCTAAACTCTCAGTTTGTAGAAAATACTCATATAAGTTAATATTCTTATAAGTTACATGTCACCATAAGGAAACACCTAGGAAAATCCTGGCCTGATCTTTTCAGAATATCAACGTCATTTTAAAAAATGAGGGATAACTGTTGATTGAGAGAGAGTAAAAAGATGTTAACAACCAAATGTAATTTATGAACCATGATTCGGTCCTCAGTCAAAAAACTGTTAAAAAAAAACACATGGGAAATAATTAAGAAGGCTTTAACATGCTAAAGAATTGAAGGGTAAATTATCACGATGTCTGTAACTTATTTTCAAATGGTTCAGCAAAATAAAAACAAATATATATGCAAATATGTATTTGCAAACATACACATGCAGAGACAGACCCAGGTATGCAAAAATGTAATCTGCTAATTAAAGGTGTCCAGTTTATGGGTAATCAATATCCTAGACTCTCAATGTTTCCACATGCTTGAAAAAACTCACAATAAAAAGTTGTTAAACTTTTGCAGTTTATGTTCAACTCTTACGGTACCTGGCTCTTGAATGACATCTACCTTCCCCACACTGATCTGAAGAATTTCACCATTCTTTGCAAAAGTCTCCCATTCTGAATCAGTCTGCTGGCAGGATGGACACCAGGGGGCATAACTAGAAGAGAAGAATAAGAATTATATTAATAAACATATGGAAAAAATCTGTAAAACAAACTAGAGTAATAGAATGTTTAAATTAAAAAATAAATTCTTAAAAAAGAATTATAAGAGGAGGCTTTTCCAAAGTCATTTAATATAGAAAAACAAGCACATTGTTCCCCCTAGTATTTAATGTATGAATGTCAATTCTATAGGAAAAAAATTGGCCAAAGTTTGAGAATATTTCCAATAAATATTATTAACCATAAACATTTTATTTCAATGTTAATAGTACAATTTTGTTACTCTCCAGAGAGCTTTTGATTTTTTTTTTTTTTTTTTTTTTTTTGAGACGGAGTTTCGCTCTTGTTACCCAGGCTGGAGTGCAATGGCCCGATCTCGGCTCACCGCAACCTCCGCCTCCTGGGTTCAGGCAATTCTCCTGCCTCAGCCTCCTGAGTAGCTGGGATTACAGGCACGAGCCACCATGCCCAGCTAATTTTTTGTATTTTTAGTAGAGACGGGGTTTCACCATGTTGACCAGGATGGTCTCGATCTCTCGACCTCGTGATCCGCCCGCCTCGGCCTCCCAAAGTGCTGGGATTACAGGCTTGAGCCACCGCGCCCGGCCCGAGAGCTTTTGATTTTTAAGGGGAAGCACTCTTTTTAGTGCCCCACTAAAGGAGGATAATTTTCACAGGGTGCACCTAAACTAGCAAAACCGGTTTCAAATCCATCAAAGCTACAGATCTGGTGGGCAGAGATCAGATCTGTTGCTTGAGGGTCCTCAACAATGTTTCCAAGATCTATGGCAAGTCTGAACTATTCTGAAAAGGAAAGTAGAAGCTATAGGCTAAACCAGCTCTAATCCAACAGTGTCTTACATTTAGCGGCAGTTAAAAATACCTTGGCTTTCAAATCAGAACTCTACTTTTTACAGTAATTTTTCATTCAATAAATACTAAGAAAGCACTATGGTAGATGCTGAGGCAACAGTTGTGAAGGAGATTTGGTGCCTCCTCTCCTTGGGGATGGTACAACCCAGAGATGAACAGAGATAAGCACTGGGACAAACACTATTACTACTCTTATTTTTATGTCTAACATTTTTCATAATAAAGGCTTGAATAAATAGAGAAATATGCCAACTTGTGGATGAGCAGGCTGAGCATTTTTAAAATGTCAATGCTCTCCAATTTATTTTTCATTTGTTCCATTTCTGAATTGCTTTTTACAAAATGTGGCACCTATTATGTTTGTATTAAAGGAAGAAAGGGGCCGGGGAGAGAAAGTAGAAAAGAATGCCTGCCAACAATATGTAACACTCTCACACACAAAATGCCTTAGGAAGGGAAACAAAGTAAGGGAAAAGTAAAAAATTGATCAAAATCCTCTAATAAGATTTAGGCTCAAAGGTGCCTGTCAGGTCACTATTTACAAATCCCTTCAAAATTCTGAACTGTGCAAAAAGCATGTTAAGTACCACTGAAAAAATCAGTGCAATTACACACACAAACCAACTTTGCTGAATAACAAAATAAAAACAGAAAGCTGAAATTGGGCAAGATTTTGATATTTCACATTATAAAAGAGGAGTTCAGGGTTAAAAAGCCAAGATTAGGAGAAGGAATGCATTTATTTCATGAAAAGTACTGAAAATTAGGCAGAACCCAGAAGAGAACTGGCTACCTACCCAAAGCCAAAGCATTCATTACTCTATCCAGCCAGGCCCCAGAAGCAGCAAGACTTAGCAAGCACAGTTGTTCACCATCTCTAGAAAAGGCTACCTTATAGCTGATTCCAAGATCATGCTAAAACCCCATTAATCTCCCCATTACAGCTCACTGTCCAAATCCTGAGATCCAGAAGAAAGGAGTAACAAAATAATCTGCAAACATCTTTGAATGTGGATTTTGTAAAAACATTCGTGACTGTATTTCCAGGGAAAAATACATTCTTGATATATAGTAGGTGTTCAATAAACATTTGCTGAATAAACAAGTATATCATCTTTAATGAAAATCATATTCTTCATCTGTGAAAACAGTTATTTTCTATGTAGTTTCTAAATATCCAAGTAACAGATGAGACTCAGGCAGTTGGCAAACTTTAGGGGAAAAAAGGAATTCTGAATTATTAAGTAAATTTCAACAGGCATTTCATGATATTGAATAAGAGCTCTGCCAGAACAATCAGAAAGATCAACCAGGAATTAACCATGATATTCTAGGCAGGTTAATAATTCTCCATGCCTCAGCTTCTTCAACCATAAAATGGGATAATTATGGTAGCTATCTTAAAAGGTTACTGAGAGATTAGATGAAATATGAAGCAGGTACATGCTGCTTCAATAGGAGCAATAATTAATACAAATTACATTTGTAATATTATTTGGGGTCCAAGACATTTTTACAATGCATTAGCTCATCTGACCTTACAGCCTCACTGCCAAACAGACAAAGCAGGTATACAGACTTGCTTAAGATCACTCAGAGCAAGAACCCAGACAGAGGTAGTTCTTTGATAAAAATCGTCAAGGAATATAAAACTCTACCCCAACACCCAGAGGGAGAAAGAGAGAAGTTACAAGAAAGTAACAAGAATAAGAAGACTATCTTGAAGTGTAACATAACGAACTTCAGATCCTCTTTATTTCCCTAGATTCTCTTTCAGATAAATCAGAGGCACATTTTCTACATCAGCAATTATTAAATCATGCAAATTTCATAATTTAAAAAATCTCAGGCCTTAATCTCTAGATAGCCTATTACATAAGTTTTTTTTGGGGGGGGAGGGAAACTGACATTCAGATATACAATTATAATACATCCTCAGATATGCCACTGAGGTAATTTTAGATATGCCATTTCTACATAGCTGCTATTCACTGGTCTGTGGCATTGTTAATGGCATTATTTCACAGATTTAACCACAGCTGATTTGTGTTGGAATGCGCCCAGATGTTCTTTCAGTGGCAGAGATAAGCCAGCTCGGAGTCCTTCGCATGGAAACTGGCCCATTGTTGCTGCAGTTTTTAACGTTTTTAGTATTCTTTTGTATATAAAGAACAGTAATCTGTGCAAAAATTTAGAAACTAAGTAAAATATCCAGGGACAAAATGAATGCAAGGATAAGTCATGTGACCTTCATGCTCTTCTCTTACTTTGTGTACATATACATACACACACATATATATATAATTTATGTATATATGCATAAATTAAACTTAAAAAGAACATGAACATGATCTTCATTAACAGTTATTTCAAACTAGTTCACACTGGCAATCTTATCCTAAGAACTATAAAAGATATGACCTACCATAACTTTGTCTCTTACACATAATCCTTAAGAGCCTCCAAGGGCAGTTAGCTCCATTGCAGTCATAGAAACTGTAAATCAGTATCTTTTCTACTGAACTTTTGTTGACTTGTTTGCAGGTCACAATGGTATGCAAAATTAATAAACTTCATAAAGATATTTGAAATATATTCCAGATGGCCAAAAAGCTCTGCTAAATTACACCAACTTCTATACCAGTGCAATGTTTTTAACCATTTCTGGGAAATGAAATTCTGTTGTCCATGTTAGTATTCATGTCCAAAGTGGCCTGAGGTTCTGCCTGATGTAAGGTGAAGAACACTCAATCTTTTATTCCATGAACTTACTGAATCTGGTGTAAGATTTCATTAGGTTCACTAAATATTTCAGAGAAAGACTTACTTAATTACATTTCCTAGAAAGGAAATTTTACAATAAATTTTTATTTACCAATAAAGAACAACTCTTCTTCTGTTTTGACTCTAATTTCACCAGTGTTTCTCAGTACACTCTCTTTTCTCCTGACTTTTTCTTTCCTTGCAGAAATGAGACGGTCAAAAACAAATCCAGTCAATTTTCACTTAGTAGAACGAACTTTGATCAAAGTGCTCAGAATACTCAGTAACAATGAAGAGGAAAGAGGTATGCTAGACTCATCTTTCTATGACTTAATAAAGGAAACTAAATAAAAATGTCAACAAAAGACGCCTTAACTACCTCAAATGTTATTCTTCTTTTTTGGCAAATGTGGAATGACTCACAAATTGAAAGTCTTATGCTCAAATTTATTTATTTGGACAATAATTTCTAGAACATGCTATCACAAAAGGTAGAGAAATATAAAAACTAGCAGCTCTATGAAAATCGTAACACTGCTGGAGAAAGTGAAATTCATGATTTTCACTAGAATTAACACTACATGAAAGTAGGGACTGCTGCATCACTTGCACCTAGAACAGAGTCAGGAAGGTCCTAGGCCACCACAATAAATATTCTATTAGTAACCACATGGGAGATGATGGTAATTATCCTTAAGACTTCAGAAGATATATAAAGATGTTCCCTTCAGTGATATGCTTGAAGTGCCTGATTAAAAGAACAATTAGTCTATTATTCACTCATTTATCTTGTCACAAAGTATTTTTTGAACATGAACTACTTCTGAGTTATTAAAGCTTTGGAGATAAACAGGGAAGGAAAAAATATCCTTGTTCCTTTACTTAAAAGCTTATAATAGAGGAAGTCAAAGAAAGACCTAGTACAAAAGTATATAAATAAATTTATAATTACTACTTGTGATAGGATCCTGCTAGACACAACCAAAGCATAATGAGATAGAATTTTCCTGCACGTTGGGATGTTGGGAAGGCAGGACACCTGTTTAAGTGGTGAACAGTGTCAAGAATGGGCATACACTAAAATGTTCTTTACTTGCAGAAACTAGAGAGATGGTAAGAGCTTGAATGGGCCTTTGAATCCTTTAAGAACAAGGCCTCCCCTCAGGTGAGTCAGGTTGCTGGCCAGATGAGGGCCTAAGCAAGAGTCCACCAGGTTCTGTGCCTTCTTCCAGGCTTCCACGAGAAGTAGGAACTGCGTTATCAAAACCTGCGAAGCTCAGGCTGGCATTACGGCCTTGCTCACTACTTACTAAGGAGCTGGCATTAGCCAAAGCTTAAATCTTGTTGTTTCTTTTTTTTAATCTCCCCTAGTCGGTGAGAATGGGAATAATTCTTCACTAGATTGCTGGGATGATCAAATAAAATAGTCTTTGAAACATGTGATGTAAGCAATGTAACTGTTAAATGTGATTGTGATGATGAGGAGGAGGAAGTGGAGGAGGCAGACGCAGGTGATAAGTATGACAAGTTTTAATGAGACTTTAAACCCTTTGTGGAGACTATCTAGAATCCAACATTTGCATGTTTTTAAATACCCATAACAGTACCTAAAGCAGTGGTTTTCAATTAGAAGCATTTAGTAGAGTGCACACGGGATGGGAGCTATAATTTTTTGATGTCACATGACTGAGACTACTAATATAATATAATGAGCAACGATGCCAAAGATTCTGCAACATGTGGGCCATCCCCACACACCGAAGAACTGTCCACCAAAAATGCCAATAGTGTCCTCTTGGGAAGCACTGATAAATGTCCAACACAGAGGAAGCATTCAGGAAAAATTTACTAAATAAATGAACATAACTTATACGACATATTTCCTTCAGAGCACAGTAGGCCAATCTTTTGGAAACCTCATTCTTCTTTACTTTCGCAGGTACCCAACACTGAACCTGACGTAGAAACATTTAATGACTCTCTCTCAAACATTCCATCAAGACCTCAAGGCAATCTATTAAAATGCAAAAAATTGTAACTAATTGACATGGGCAAGCTAAGTCAATGATGTTCAACACATCTCTCCAGGTATAAAGGAAGACTAGAAAGACAATACTAAAACCCAGAGGTCCTACAGAAATAAACAAAGCTTTGATCTATCACCAGGTGTTTAATTTTAATTTTGAAACATGATCATCCCAGGAACAAAAATCAGAAAAGGCAATAATTTATAAAGATTTATATGCTTTGCAGAGGTAAATTAACCCAAAGACATACTTTTCCTCTGAGTATCAGTTTGAAGGTCAAAATTAAGCCACTTGGCTATTTCTTCTGGGCGGAAAAAGCCATGAGAATGTATCATATTACATACTTCTGTGTTTCAAAAGAACAAAATTCATTTTCTCCAGGACTGACATAATGAGAACCAAGCAAGTGTTGAAAGTAGCAAAAGGTTGCAAAGGAACTGAATGAGGAGTAGTATAAAGCAACAGAAATAGAGAAAGCATGCATCAGAAAGTAATTTAAAGATTAGATCATTTTTCCTAATTCAGAAAAAGGGCAAATGAGTATACAATAAACCCATAGCATTAAAGAAAATGCATGAAGCAATGGAGGAACTTTTCAGATTTCTAAAAGCATCAGAATAGAAATGGTGAATTACTGCAAATATACTTTTAACTGATACATTTTAAACACATTGTAAATTCAATTGCAAGAATCCAAAAATTGACTGTTGGGAAGACAAAGAAAATATAACCAAATTAAATTTCATAATAGGGGCTTTTTATGTCTTAGAGCTGCCAAATACTGCTAGATTCTTAAGAACAAATTGTCTATGCCAACATAACCAGAAATTACATTAGAGGGTATCTGTATGACATGGAATATAAAAGAAAAAATTCCCAGGAGAAAGAGAGCATATAAGCAAATGACCAAATAAAGAACTGTCATTCAAAGTAATAAATACATTTTGATATTAGCAGAAAGCTTCTCAATCTGTTTCTTTAAAGAACTACATCTTTGAACTCCTAACAATTTCCATTTATGTATGACCAGTTCATGTGAATAAAGTGTTAACATGAAGCGAACATATTTTGTTTTTCTCTGTTATATACATCAAAAAAAAAAATCTGGTAACTTACAGGCTATTTGAATGAATTCTTTGAAATTGACAGCAGGCCTATAGTGATACTGAGGCTATAACGAATTTTATATTATTTTAAGTACTGGATTTTTTTTTCACAGCAAGGAGGAAGAATATCACCTAATAATACAGAAAAATCACAAATAGGTAAGAACCAAAATATTTCTTCGGGATGGGCACTTGGGTTTTAGTACGTAAAAAGAAGTTGGATGGAATGGTTTAGATCAACTCTCCTTTACAGCCTTGCTTCCTAGTCTACCTATTCTGAAGTGCACTTGATAAATAGAGAACTTCTACTAAAATGACCTTGTGTCTACACCTCTTCCTTCCCGATTACAAGACTCATCTTGCATCACAGCCCAAGCATATCCCATACAACTGGATATATGACAAACTCAGAGCAAGTGATTACTATGATTATACAATCATAAAAAAGTAGAATTTAAACCATCAACATAGCCAAACAGGATTTGTTGGCTGTCACGCATTTAAAAACTTATTGAGGCTTTAGTGTTCTTAACTCTATTAGAAAAAAAAAAAAAAAAAAAAAAAAAAGAGCAATTCCAAAAAGACCATGAAGGAGTTGATGTCATTAAACATGAGGAGGCCTTTGTTTTAACTTTCCTTACATACATACACAAACTCAGTTTTACTCTGTAAACTGACATCTAGGAAAAAGTCCATTTTGTAAGCACCTACTGAAAAGAGAACTTTCTGTAGTATTGGCTGACAAAACGTCGTTTATCCAAAACTCTTAAAATTATTACATAGCAGTCCTAATACAGCTCCACTTATTTTAAAAGTTTCTCAAATAGAATATGACACCCTCGCCTCCTTCCAAAAATAGTTAAGTGGAAGATTTTAATAACTTGTTCGTGTCTACAGCTCCCACTGATTATGATATCAAGGATATTTCATTTTGAGGTCTAAAATTTCCCCTTCGTTGTGACCAAGAGGTAAATGCACATTTGAAAGGGTGACATGCCTTACGTTCTTTGAGCAAGGTAATCTGCCATGTGACATAAATTTTGGCTCTGATCTCACACTGGGGTTTTCACTCCGTAGACACTTGCTTGCAATCTAAATTGAAAGAACCAAAACTTGGTCTTGGATAAAGGAAAGAGCCAATCTGTGTCTGTGTCCTCAACATAAAATAAATATTGGATAGTAGTATACAGATTGCCTGAAACCACCCTGACATTCTTCATCCCCTGTAAGCCCACTATGATGGTCTCAAGCCCATTCAGACATCTGTCCACCGTTCACTGCAAGCCTTCTTTCAGATGGTCACCTCCTGTTACAAGTTTAAACTATGATCAACAAATCCCTTTCTTTCTCCTAACTCAAAAGTATAGTTTTCTTCTGAAAGAAAAGGCACTATCCCAAATTTACCTCTGTTGTTAAAAGGGGTAACATGTATATTCTTTTCTTTATGACAGAAGCACAATTATTATATTACCCAGAAAGTCCTACCTTTAAAAGTTATAATAAATATCAACATTTCTTTGAAATCTTATTGTAAAACTGAAAAGGCATCCATGTTTGTGTTTTATTTTCACAATGACATTTCAAGGTCTTCAAACGGAAGACTATGATACACACGGCCTGCCTTCACCGTGCTGCAATTACTTCAACAGGTAACTTAACTAGCCTGTGCTATGTATTCATACTGCACATGCATGTCACTGAGTGTGCTTTTCTCTTCCAATGCATATCTACATATAAAACCACACTGTTTGCTTGCAGATTTTCTCCCTTCCCTTCTCCTCCCTTTGGGAAGATGCCCACTCCATCCCCAAAACACCTTCCCCCAAAGCAAGGGGACGCTCTGCACTCGGCTGTCACTGCGAGGGCTGGGCGCGCATGCGCGGCGCGAGCGGCCCGGCCCCGGCACCAGCACCGCCGGTTTTTGGCAACGTGGGTCCGGGGCCCCCAAGTCTAGCCCAGTGGCAGTGCGGGATCTCGAGCGGCCCGGTCCCGGCGCCTCGGGCTGATGACAGGGCGGGTCCGGGGTTTCAGGTTGACCCCAAGCGGCAATGCGAGATCGCTAGCGGGCCGCGCGAGCCTGGGAGGGTGACGCCCGAGGACACTGCGGCGTGCGGGGCGGGCACACTCACAATTTCAGCATCCACTCGCCCTCCATCACCAGCGTCCAGTTGGAAGCGGTCATGGGCTGGACCCGGCTCTGCTCTGCCGGCAGCGCGGCCTGATCGGGGCCTGTCGTAGCCGCCGCCGCTGCGACCCAGGCAGCCAGGAGCGCCGTTAGCTGCGAGCCGCAGCGCCCACCCGCCATGTTGGGCGCCGAGCGAGGCTCCTCGGCCTGGCCGGGAGGGTGGGGAAAGGCAGCGGCCGGGCCCGCAGCCTCGCTCGCCCGCCCTGGTTTTTCAAGGCAGCGGGAGACGCCGGGGCCACCCCGCCTACGCCCGGCCGCGCAGACGGGCGGTGCTCGCAGCGCCGCGGCGGACGCCTCCTCCCGTCGTTGCTCGCCCGCCGCGGCCACGCCCCCTCCCGCCCCCGCCTGCCGTTGCCCGGGGTGTCGGTTGCCTAGGCAACCGCCGCCCTTTCTTCTGACCGCCAAGCTGACAATAAACAGATGACCCAATGTTGCCTAAGTTAGAGCACGCAGCGCTGCTGCTAAGGCTCCAGTGAAGGCGGGGTTGGCACGTGGGGGCTTCTCTAAAGGGAAACATGGCCGGTAATTTTAAAATCCATCCCGTCTTCAATGACAGCAAAAAGGAAAGCAGCGGACTGCAAAGTACACGTCGGTTTAATGAAAAATGGAGGGACGTGGTGAGCATCTCCTGCTGAAGAGAGAGGAAAATTTAAGTACTCTCTGCATGGGTATATTGAAGCATCACTAATTGAGGATTTGATGAAGCCAGGCTATGCACTTGCATTGTTTTTTTTACAAAAATAATGTTCTTGATTTCATAGAAACTCTTAAAAACATGAGTACTAACTGATAAAATGAGTCAGTTAAGACTATTGCCACCTGCAGTAAAATGGACCTCACGTTTCTCTTGACTACAGTTTTGTCAGATTTAAAATGAGGGTAGCTTTAAGTGATTTCCAATTTTCCTTCCAGGCCACATTAGCTGAATCTGTACCTTGGGACCACCACACCATTAGTATGTAAGACTGGATTATAATTAGAGGATCAAGAGCTTTCTCAAAGGGTGCTTTGTATGTGTTTACTAGGTGTGCAAACCATGAATCTCGGTAATGTGGTTAACAGATCATGAAAAGGATGTGGTTTCTGCCCGGGGCTTAAAACGAAGACAAGCTAGGTGACTAAAAGTACTTCAGGGCACATGAGAGCAAACTTCAATCAGTACTTATATGAGGGGAAAATTAATTTTGCCTAAAGAGAAGATCTAGTCTGGATTATGCATTAATTAGTATTAGCTAAAAACTATGTGCACCCAGCCCTTATCATTAAAATAAAACACTCAAGGGTTTACGAACTATTGGAATTTAAGAAAATGTTTTTGTAATGAATCCTACTAAGACTCACTGTTACTAAGCACATACACATCAATCCCATAAACTCGATCGAAAACATTTTACTGTGCTTGTAAAAAGCAATGATTCATAAACAGGAATTCTATCACTTTCAGTGCAACTTTTTTTGTATCGTATATGTAATTGGTTTAAAAAGTTCTTAAAAAATAGCATCTGAAATTAAAGAATTACTATTAACTTTGCTAAAGGTGTAAAGATGTGATAACTATATTTTAAAGATATTTATTGCTTATAGATAGTGAGATATTTATGGATGAAGTAACATGATGTCTAGAATTTGTTTTACAATGCTCCAGAAATAAAGTGTAGGGAATGGAGAGAAGATAGGTGAAAGGTAAGTGGTGCAATATCAGTCAGTGTTGAAACTAAGTTCATTTTGCTTTTTTTAACCTACTCGTGCATATGTTAGAAAATTTACAAAATGAAAAGCTAAAAAGAAAGAGCATCTGCAGCACAAAAGACAGCTGTTACTGAAGCACGTCCTATCTCTAACAAAAGTTGTGGGTTTAAGGATTGCATTTTTTGGCCTTCTGACTAAGGATGGTAGCAAGAAAGTGTGGGCGTGACCTTGTGGTGAGGAGTCACAGACCAGGGTAAGGGAGCTGTTGCTGTCAGACTATGATTGGCATCTCAGCCCTGACACTTCCTAGCTATGATTCGGGGCTAAAACTAGTTAACACCAAAGTTGTGTTAAAATGCAGGTTGTAATAGAACCTGGTCCAAAAAGGTGTCTGTAAAGATTATATTAGATAAGAATAATATGCTGACTCAAAAAGCTTATGTACTAGGTTGATGCAAACATAATTGCAGTTTTTGCCACAACAATACTGCCATCATTAATATCATCATTTGGAGACAACAATATGCTGTAATGTCTCTATTTTTCCTAAAGTCAAGTTCACTTAGTGTGATACACAATGACTTTCACAGTCCAGCTTCAGTTTTGCCCACTTTACATTTCACTGTTCCCACAATTCCCTGTGTCCTAGTAACACAAGCTGCTCCCCAGTCCCAAAGCACATTGTGTATTTCAGTGTCTCCTTGCCCCTATGTTCTGCTTAGGACACTCTTCTTCTGTTGTCCAGTGAATCATTCAATCTCTGTCATGCAGCCCACATTGTACCTCTGATAGCTCATGCAGAAGGAGCTGCTGTCTCTTCTCAGAACCAGTTGCTCTTCTGTGTAACGGATATGGTTTGGCTCTGTGTCTCCATCCGAATCTCACTTTGTAGCTCCCATAATCCCCACGTGTTATGGGAGGAACCCCAAGGGAGACAAAATCATGGGGGCAGGTCTTTCTGTGCTATTTTGTGATAGTGAATAAGTCTGAGGAGATCTGATCGTTTTAATACAGATTTCCCTGTTTACAAGTTCTCTCTTGGCCTGCTGCCATCCATGTAAGACATAACTTGCTCCTTCTTGCCTTCCACCATGATTATGAGGCTTCCCCAGCCATGTGGAACTGTAATTGCACACTTGATCGTAGCCAAAAAGCCAAGAAGCGATCTGTAAGTCCAATAAACGCTTTTTCCTGTATAAATTACCCAGTCTCGGGTATGTCTTTATCAACAGTGTGAAAATGGACTAATACAATAACTTTACCACATACCTGTCATAGTATAATGCAAATATACATAGTTATCACCCTCTACCGTCACTCCTTCAACCATTCTTAAAAACTCTTCAAGGTCAGGGGCTTTATCTTATATATCTTTGTGTCCCCTGCATTGCAGAATACCCATCCCATAGGTGTCCTTGGGATAGGTAGCTTCTGACACTGCTCCTGAGATCTCTCCCTCCTGGTATTCAGCCCCTTGTGTGATTCTTCCCTCTTGAGTGTGGGTTGGGCCTGATGACTCACTTCTAACAGAAGATGGGAAAACTGATGGGTTATGACTTCTGTGATAAGGTTACGAAAACCTGTAATTTCTGTCTTGCTGGAAACTTCTTTTCCTCTTGCATGCTCACTCTGCGACTCTGTGTGGAGAGCTCCATGTGACAAGGAACCTCCATGTGACAAGGGAGGTCTCCAGCCTGAGGAACTGACACCTCAGCCCAACAGTCCTCAAAGAACTGGATCTTCAAACAACCACATGAGTGATCTAGAAGCAAATCTGTCACCAGTGCTCTTGAGACAGATGAGCCTTATAAATGACCTGGAACCCGGGGGCACAGCTTAGCTTAGCTGGGACCTCCACCCACAGAAACTGTGAGGTAGTCAATGTTGTTATATAATATCAAGCCACTAAGATTTGGGGCAATTTGTTATGCTGTAATTGATATCTAGGCCAGTATGTGATCCATGTCCATGTTTAAAACACGGATTTACAGTTTTAAGAATATTGGTACCTGGTACTAGGAGAAAGGGCTTTTGTCCCCAGAGTAATGGTGGCACTGCAAGACAGCTTTGGTTACACAAAAATACGTGGTTCCTGGTAAGCAAAGGAATTCCTAGGACTCTGATGAGGTAACATCATTAGCAGGAGAGAGGGGGAAGGTGTGGTAGATGCATATCTAGCTCCCTTTCTTTCCCTACCCCACAGAGGAGTCTGCTCCTACCTCCCTCAGAAGTTAGGCATATTTATATGAATAGTTGTGACCAATGGGCTATGACTGGAAGGGGTGGGTATGTATCATTTCCAGGCTGAAGCATTTAATCACCAGCACAGAAGGTCCCAGTGTTTTGTTTCCTGCTGTGGAAATTTTAGAGAAAAGATCATGATCTAAGAGTCTACAAAACCAGAGCAGCCTGAATAGTTGAGCTGCCTCACGGAGAATAGTGGAACTGGGTGGTTCCCTGGATTCTTAAAAGTATTTTATGGCCAGGCGCGATGGCTCAAGCCTGTAATGCCAGCACTTTGGGAGGCCGAGGCGGGTGGATCATGAGGTCAAGAGATCAAGACCATCCTGGCCAACATGATGAATCCCATCTCTACTAAAAATACAAAAAAAAAAAAAAAAAAAAAAAAAAAATTAGCTGGGCGTGGTGGCGTGCGCCTATAGTCCCGGCTCCCCAGGAGGCTGAGGCAAGAGAATTGCTTGAACCCAGGAGGCAGAGGTTGCAGTGAGCCCAGATCACGCCACTGCACTCCAGCCTGGCACCTGGCAACAGAGCGAGACTCTGTCTCAAAAAAAAAAAAAAAAAGAAAAGAAAAAAAAGATTTTATATAGGCAAGAAATAAATTTTCACTATGATAGACTATTCAGGTTAAGTACTGCTGCCTAACCAACCACCCCAAAACTCACCTGTCATGGTTTTGGGGGATAGAGAGCTCAGCTGGGCTATATTTGCTTGTATTCCTTTATACGGTGGCAGACACCTGAAGACCGAGGCCAGAATTAAAGTCCCTATCACTCACTTCTGGCTAGTAGCATAGGCTGGCTGGAACAGCTGGGGACTGTACAGGCATTGCTCTTAGCCATGCATTCTCTCTATGTGGCTAGCTTCGGCTTCCTTCAGCATGGCAGTTTGAGGTCTGTCATACTTATTTTCTCTAGAGTAAGAGTTACCCAGAAGGTCAGGTGGAAACTGCATTGCTCCAGAGGTCTGAGAATGGCATTTCTACCTCATTCTATTAGTGAAGGCCCTGAAGGACACCCCAGACTAAAGGGAAGAGGAATTAGACTACCCTTTAATAAGAAGCAACAAAATGAATTGCAGCCATACTTACTCTATCAAAAGGCCACTCCAAAAATTTGGAATTGTCACTGAAGCATAATCTAGCCTGTTTTGACTAACTCACTGTTTTCCTTTGACTACTTATTTATGAGCATCTGAGAGCTGTTTATTTTGGAGGGGAGGTGATATTTTCAGAGAGCAGAGTAGGAACTTCCTCTCCCTTTTCACCTTCTGTAAAATGATTCTCAAGCCTGTGGGCAGGTAGATGGATTGATGCCTTGGCATTTAAGTGCTCATCAAATGTTAAAGAATTTTTGTTAAGCTTCTTCAAAAAAGATTCAAAAGCATATGCTGAGATTTATGTAAACACATCTATTTTACCCCTGAATAATGGATGTAGGGAAACGATTTACC